GGTGTGTGTGTGTGTGTGTGTGTGTGTGTGTGTGTGTGTGTGTGTGTGCTGTTGATCAGAGTTGCAGTAGTTGTTGTTCTCCACAGCCCTTAAATCTTCCTAGTTTGTCATACAGCAGCTGCCGAGTGTTGCATCTGAACTCCCAGCATAACATTCTCAGAATGGATGTCTCTGAAAGGTCACTCAGTGTCTTGCTATTTCCATTTTAAGCAGCAAGTCCTCCCTCAGGGTACAGTCAGATTATATGAAACCAGGCTACCAGACAAATAGAGCTGCAGTGTTCGCTGGCCAAGGCTCAGAAGTGTGAATTCATTTCCAATGGATGTCTTACCTGTACATAATGTATAATTCTTATATGTCTGTTACCTCCTGTCAGGTTACATGTTTGTATCGTATCCTTTTAGGCAAAATGGCATATATCATCTTTCTGTAAAGACGTTATGTCCATTAAATGACAGAGGTCAATATTTGTGTGTTATCAATTCCCTCTCCAGTTTCTTTCCCCTCGCTATATCACAGGAGCTACATAGTGAAACACATACTTTCTCTGACACACACACACACACACACACACACACACACACACACACACACACACACACACACACACACACACACACACACACACACACACGAACACACATCTAGTTCCTTGTGAGTTTGAGTGACATGCAGGGGGATGTTGTGATGCACTTTTTCCACTCTGGACAGAAACGGCAACTCCCATCGGGGGAATAAATGCATCAAGCCGCAATACTTTGCTGCTGCTGCAGGTTTGTTGGAAACAAGAGTCTTGTACAAAGCAGTAACACATTCCTCAGTGTCCAGCAGCAGCCAGCCCTTCTCCCAGAGGAAAGTAGAGATGAGTTTACTTAAGAGTGAGAAGGAATGAGGTTATGATGCCCAGAACTCGGCATGCCACTGCAGTCCCGAGAGAGTACAGGTCAAAAATACACACACAAGAATGTACGTAAATGCAGATGTATACAGGCGTGCACATATTATCAAAGGCACTGTATAAAGAAAAGGATGAGATTGGATTGTTTTGGTGTGCCTCACAAAGCAATGGCTCTCTCTCAGTAAACAATTAATGTTTATCTAAGCTTTTCAAGGGGCTGCCTGACCTTGGCATTGCAATGTGCTGAATGAATATTCCCGCTGTGTATTGAAAAGACTCTGCTGAATATGCTATTGTGATGGTGATGAAAAGGCACTATAGTAAAACTAACAGATATTCTGATTCCAGGAAATCTGTATCTGGGTTTGTTTTACATAGACTCAAATTTGGGTTGGGCCTTTTAAGCAATCTTTAAACAGTCTCTCAGCAAAACAAAGCCCCTGACAGACTTACAGTTTCAATCATGGACATCATACAGTAAGAGTTATGACTGAGTATTGTTGCTGATAAAGTAGATACTTTCTTCTGCCTGCGGTAGGATGTCATTTTGACTTCTGTTGCGATCACACAAGTGTGTCTGGGGAATAAACAAGGAAGTGCTTTGGTTTTTTCCAGTCCTGAAGAATCCATCCGCGTTTTTAAGAGCTATAATTCGACCGTAGATCACACAGCAACACCTCATGTTAAGGAGATTAGTCCGCCTGAGAAGGAGTTGATCTAGAAATATGACACCCATGTTGTTTTAATACTCTTAACCAGTAATTAAAACTCAAATTAGTGTCCGCTCCTCGTAAAGTCGTATTAGAGTGGTTTTCCTGAATTGAGGAGGCTTTTTAAGGGCACTGAATCTAAATCTTCTGTGGTTAGTTTACTGGCATTTCTAAAGACATTCAGCTGTCTCGTATGTACAGAGCATCAATGCGGTGAACACTTGTTGAATCTCTCCTTTTTATTCTAGTTACATTTACATGTGTAGCGAAGTCATTTTGGTGTAATCTGACTCGAGGGTTTGGAGTCTTTTGTGCAGTCGAGCTGCCAAGGATTATGCAACATCCTAAATGCCATTTCAGCAGCAGGGTTTTTAGGAGGGAGTGTTCAGGGCGGCGCTGGTGTGTGTGTGTGTGTGTGTGTGTGTGTGTGTGTGTGTGTGTGTGTGTGTGTGTGTGTGTGTGTGTGTGTGTGTGGAGGGTAGTTTAATCTCCAGACAGTCAACAAAGCAATCACTTGCCTTCTAAATAGATCCTGAAAATGATGTTCATTGCTCAGAGAGCGCTGTATCTCTGTGTGTTATGGCTTGTCTCCAGCCAGTTAAATTGCTGAGATAGGGATTGTTATGAGCATTATGAGTCGCTCGTGTGTGTGCCGTGATTCTTCCAGACGGCTGCTTGGCCTTTTAAAATGCTCTTGCAGGCTCCATTTTCTCAGTTAGGGCTGGTCAAGTGAGACACCGTTATGTAATAATAAGTGGACCACAGATTCTGCTGACTGTCTGACCCTTTCTGAAATTGAGCATCTCAGGAATGGGTAAATTGAAGCAAGCCCCCGGGGTTGAGTGAGTGTCACAAACAAGCAGCGAGAGTGAAATCATTCAAGGAAAAAAGGGTTGCATTTTTGAAAATGTCAATGAGCTCATGTTTTTCTGCTCATGTTCTTGGGATATTAAAACAGACGTAGGCGTCATACTAACTGTATGGCCTTCAAGCTGTGATACTTTAGCGCCATCCTTCCAAACATAATGACTGACTTCCTAATGAGGGCCCCAGTGAACTAGCTTTTAGAAGCAGATGTCAGTGCAACTCTGGATTCACTTTTATGTGGTGGCAGATTTGACTGACTCCTGAGGAAAATGCTCTGAAAATAGATAATGCAACATCATTATGTCAAAATATTTAAAGTGCAGCTGTGATGGATTTCTAAATGAGGAGAAGTATTTCTAAAACATTTGTTCCAATTCTGCCGTCCATACCACACAATTACACTGCCTCCGCCTAAAGTAACTCATTTGAGAGAAAGTCAGGAAGGAATATTTTCGAGGAGAGAGTATTTTTCACACCGACACTAGCTGCAATTGACTAAAGGTCAACAACACATTATGTTTCGTGTTCATTAAAGGGCTTCTACTCACACTCCAGCTCCACTGGGAATAAGCCAACACTTTGCTCTTATTATGTCTATATCTTATAGCTGATTCTTCCAACCTACACATACAGTAGAAACGGCAGAATAAACATGTCCAGGCTCGAAAACTGCTGAAAGTTATTCTCTGAAATGTTGGATATCACTAACTTAAATCTAAGTAGGTGAGTCAGAAAGAAGGCCGGGATCTGGGAGTGCCAGTGGTGAGCCAAAAGCTGGTGCAACCTGGTATAAATGCCACAAGGGAAGAAAAACAGACGACTACGTAAAGGAGGGAGGAACAGATCTTATTACTAATGCCCCTTTCACACCAACGCGTTTTCAGCTCCGGCTCGGAGCTGGAGCCTGAAAAGCACTGTTTTTTCCTGTTCACACCGCAGTGGCGCCGCCTCTTAGCTCCGGAATCCGGTTCACTTCCAGCTCCAAAAAATTGTCAGTCTAGAGCAGTGGTTCTCAAACTTTTTCTGTCAGGCCCCCACTTTGGAGAAAAAAAAAAGTCGGGCCCCCCCAACACAAATAGTCAGGCTCAGTGGCGGCGCCAGAGATTCTATTTTGGGGGTGCTGTGGGGTAGCTTGACGTTTCATAGAGGGTGCTCAAACATTTAGGGTTTCCCATTAATGTACTGGTCGCTACAGTGGAATGTTCTACTGCAACAATCCCCACACACACACACACACAGTGTACCCGCGACTGTTACAATGAAGGCTCGATAATCAGCTCACGGCATATAGGTGTAAGCAGGGGTAAAGTGTTATTTTTATAGGTGGTGTGTGGACCTCACATAGGGGGGTCAGGGGGCAAGCTCCCCTGGGAAGATTTTTAAATATTGAAGTTAAAAGCATCAATCTGGTGCACTTTGAGAGCAACATGAAGAGATCTATGGATACATCTCTCAACACCCATTTGAAACAGAACTGTAAACAGATTTACTTTTTCTTTATGGATATTTTACAAATCACTCCCTTTTTAACGTTATTCTTTTTTTAATGTCATATAGTATTTCATACCTGTTTTTAATTTATTCTCTTATTTGTTTATAACTATAATGATCATATAAACGTGGGGCCTCGGAAATAATTGTTTACCATTAATGGACCCAAAACGGTTTGGGACACTGAGATAACTGAAGAGGTCCTTTGTACGGGGCTCACGTGGAGCTATCAGTCTGACAGGAGAGGGACTTCCTCCGCTCGTCGTGGTGCGACGTGGTAAGCACAATCCTTATATCGTTGCCTGAGGGCGGTCGCGGCTAGCACGCGGAGGGAGCGCGTAACAAAACAATCTCTCGGCTAC